CTCCATGTCGTTCAAAACATTTTTGAAGTCCCGGTTCTAAGACGTAAAGCATGGTGCACTAAACTATCAAGTAGTCATCATACCGAGCTTGCCATAACGTCTACATCAGCTCCTGCAAAAGGTCCGTCACCTAGTGGTGCATCAAGGACATAATTCTTCTGTGCAGCAATGAGGATAATCCTCAGATCACGAATCCAGTCCGCATCATTGCTTCTATCATCTTTCAACTTATTTTTCTCTAGGAACATATCAAAAATAAACTGGGAGCTATAACGCGAGCTATTAATCTACAACATAATTTGCAAATACTATCAGGACTAAGTTCATGATAAATTAAAGTCCAATTAAATCATATTACTTAAGAACTCCCACTTAGATAGACATCCGGCCCTCTAGTCATCTAAATGATCACGTGATCCATATCAACTAAACCATGTCCGATGATCACGTGAGATGGAGTCGTTTTCGATGGTGGACATCACTATGTTGATCATATCTACTATATGATTCACGTTTGACCTTTCGGTCTCAGTGTTCCGAGGCCATAGCTGCATATGCTAGGCTCGTCAAGTTTAACCTGAGTATTCTTCACGTGCAAAACTGGCTTGCACCCGTTGTATGTGAACATAGAGCTTATCACACCCGATCATCACGTGGTGTCTCGGCACCACGAACTATAGCAATGGTGCATACTCAGGGAGAACACTTGTACCTTGAAATTTAGTGAGGGGTCATCTTATAATGCTACCGCCGTACTAAGCAAAATAAGATGCATAAAGGATAAACATCACATGCAATCAGAATAAGTGATATGATATGGCCATCATCATCTTATGCCTTTGATCTCCATCTCCAAAGCACTGTCATGATCACCATCGTCACCGGCTTGACACCTTGATCTCCATCGTAGCATCGTTGTTGTCTCGCCAACTATTGCTTCTACAACTATCGCTACCGCTTAGTGATAAAGTAAAGCAATTACATGGCGATTGCATTTCATACAATAAAGCGACAACCAGGAGGAGGAGAGAAAAGTCATGGTGGGCCCCGCTTGTCAGCCCCTCAGCGCTGACCCGGGCTGCCGTTGACTGAACCAGCCGGCCGAAGCGGCTAAATTGCGAACGTTCACTGTTTAAGCCACTTTTCTGCCTAAAAAGTGAACGGCCACAACTTTGCAACTGTGACTCCGATTGAGGTGATTCCAATGCTCACATTCTCTATTCGTTGAGCTCTTTTTGATGGGCCTATTTTATTTATGTTTGCACATTCTAAAAATGCCTATTTTCCCTTGCCCGTAAACAGCCCCCTTCGAGAGAGAACTATTTCCGGCAACTCTTTCCGCGATTGTTTCACACTTCTTCCCGAAGTATTTGTCGACCCCCAGGCAAGCCAACCTCTTATCATGAGCCTCGAACTTGCATGTTTATTTTGCTGGTACCTCGTGTGTGTGATTAGTTGCAGTAGTTTTTGTCTATTTCATCTACCGTTAGTTCAGTTGTGCTATATGTTAGTACTGCTTGCCACATCATGCTTGATTTTCATGATAGCATTTGTCATGCTAGTTATATTGTTGTTGATAATGTCATACATGTGTTTTGGTTAGTTTCATGCCAGTAGTATTTATGCTATGATGATTTTGTTACACCATCGATAAGCTAGTACCCAGTATTGTCATGTTTCATAGGATTTATCTGTTCACTTGAGGAACTTGATATTTGTTAATGCATTTGCATGTTGCATGCTCATTGTTGCATCTTTGTTAATATGATCATACTATTAATGATGGTGGAGAAGTTAATAACATGACTTCATAATAAAACTCCTCCGTCATCGATGGGATCGAGTCATAATGCCACCAAATCAAGCTTTCTCTAGTGCAGCCACACTTGCCTTTATGGGAGGCCCTAGCTGGGTCTGTTGTCATGCCTCTCGCAGGTGCCTCCAACTTGGAAAGGTTATGGGTGCGCGCTACCCTGATCAGGTAGGCGGACATAAGCCTTGTGAGCCCGAGTTTAGTTGTGTGCACATGTCCCTGTTTGGGACTGTTTTTGCCACGACGGTGGCCGTAGGTGCCTTTGGTAGGCACGGGGCCACCCATGACTTAGCCCAAATGGGAGTTGGTCGGAGTGGCCGGGAGAGTGTCATGGCAGTAGGACAGCTTTGTCGGAATGCCGTTGGTCCACCCGAATGGGAGTGCGAGGCCATGGATTATGTGGTGTGGGTACAGTGCGCTACCTTTGCAGAGTGTATATTAAGTCTATCGATAGCAGCACAGTTCGTAGTAGGTCACACTATCGGGTCTTGGTCGAAATGGAGGATAAACCTGCTAATAACTTATGTGATAAACAATGTGGTGACTTGGACTATGAGAAAATCGTGAGAAGTCATGATGATGTGTTGATATGACCCCGAGACGAGGTCTCGGTAAGTCATGAGTTTGCTCCGAGGAGCCGTGGCAGAGTAAGTGATTGTTGCATAAGGTTAGTACAATCTGTCTTCACGGGAGGTAACTGGTAGTTTATTTTTAGCACAGTTTCATGATGCCATGCCACGTTTGGATATGCTATGTTTTGTTGTTGCTATGTTAGAAGTAAGTTTGATATGTCCTGTTATTGCCATGCTAGTAGATGCTATGATGTTGTTCATGATTTATGATTCTAGTTAATATCATGCCATGCTTAGTAGTGGTGCTAAAGTAGACTGTTGCATATGCTTGGTTCTTACTTTGTCATCTGCTCGTTTGGTTGCTTTGTATTTGGTTGTCTTGCAAGTACATTCAATGTACTGACATGGCGTGTCATGCCAGTTTTGTAGGTCGTGCCCAGGTTATTCGCTTGTTCCGTCGTGCTAGACCGTAATCTTGTCAGTCCTGTGAGTTATGGAGCTCAGCCAGAGCGATATGCTGCCAAACCAAGACTTCCGTCGCCAGTTAAATAGACTTCCGCCACCATTTAAATAGCCTTAGGGCTATGCCACATAATTGTATTCATCAATGATGTAATCTTATACACATGTATTTGATGAATATTCTTGTACCTGGAATGCTGTATCATGGACCTGTCGTGCGTTAGGTGTTATCCTGGGCTGACGTGCGAAGGCCCCCCTGCTCCAAGCAGATCGGGGTGCCACACTCTCCTAGCTCAGGATTTTCTTCTTGTACTTCTGCCATCAAATCCTCAAATTCCTTAGTATAAGCTGTTACTATACTGTTGAGCTGTTTCAGACTGGTAAACTTCTCTGTTAGATCATAAGTACCCTGTTCAGAAAACCTTTTCACCACTTCAGCTCCAAAATGCTTCCAGTTAAACTGTTTCTTTAATAAACCAGACCTTCTCAACCAAGTATCTGCTTTATCAATAATGTACATTTGGGCTAGAGATACTTTATATTCTTCAGGTGCCCCAGACATTTGAAAATATTTGTTACATTGCCTTATCCACCCCACAGGGTCTATGCCAGAAAATCTAGGGAAATCCAACTTGGGTCCTCTAGTATAGATTTCATGAACTGTGCTTGCATGTCATGTTCATATGTTTTATAATACCCTTGCCATAACTGCCTATCTCTATTCTGCTGATATATTTGATTGAATGCAAGAGTATACTCTTTGTTTCCGCCAGTTATTGAAGTTCCCATCTGACTAGCTGCATCTTGCCTGCCCTGGTTATGAAATCCAGGAGGAGCTGCTGGTCTACTAGTCCTGACAGGTGGTAAGTTGTGTAGCCGCATGTCTTCTAATTGCTTTGATTTCTCCTTTTCTGCTGCTAGCTGTTTCCTTGTTCCGCTGTGCCCACTGTTTTTGCAATTTTCTCCTTGCTTAGAGCCAATGGACTGCACCTCGTCTTGCAACTTGGACACCTGAACTTGCATCTCCATGCTATCCTTCTCTAAGACTGCAAAATCTTCACAAATTGCCAGCATCTCTTGCAGATCCGCATCATCATTGCCTTTGCTCGCCCCATCTCCTTGATTCGAGGTGTGGGTACAAAATTTTACCTCTGGATCACCAGGAACCCTTCCCAAACCTCGAATCATGCCGCCGTTGCGATCCACGCCTCCCTAGCACACGGATCAGTGCTGGAACACGAAATTTTACTGCTCGAGCAGTGTGCTCGAACAACCGTTTCCGCTCGGCTAATCTGTGCCAACCAACCGCTCCCCACCACCAACGCCACCGGAAAATCCTACCGCCGTCGAGAAGGGTGGGAATCGCCGATCTGGAATTTTTTCCCCATCGGAGCGTGTTTCTGCCGAAGAACTATGGCTCATGATACCATTTGTCAGGACCGATCTAGACCTATGCGAATTTAGCAAGCAAATCAAAGAAATTTGGGAGCGGGGAAATCTCAGATCTGGATGTATTTGCTATTGATTTAACTTTGAAGTATCCCGTAAGCCATCGAGGCGAATTCTGTAAGAGAAAAGACAGATCACATGCCAGCCACATCCCGGCTGGTTATATAGGCGAAAGTGATTGACAAAGTGAAAAGTAACAGTAACTACTACTGTATAACGGTACATTTAGGAAATCAACGGCTCTCGACGAAGCGGTAAGGCGTGGAGGCATCTCAGTCGTTGGATAACTGAATCTCATCGACACCTGCAGGTTCAGGCCTGACACTAGATTAGGAGCGGGAGCCAGCGTTTTCTGGAAGCCAGATAACCCTAGCGCCGGCCGCCGCCGTCCCTACCCCGTCAGGTTGTCTCGCAGCCGCGCCGCCTCCTCTCTCCCCTCTTGGCCATCGACCCGCCGTCTCCCCGTCGTTTCCGGCGCCCCCCGGCTGCCTCCATCTGCACCTGGTGTGCCGAACGGGGCCCAGCTCCTCGCGAGAAGCTATCGCGCGGAGTGCGGCGCTGGAGCCACAAATTGCACCAAGCCATGCGGCCTCCGAACAGGGCGTCTCGCGGTAGCGTCTCCGCTCCTCCCGGCCGCACTCGCGTCTCTCCTCCGCCCGCGCAGCTCACCTTGCGGCCGTCGCGGTGAGCCTCCGCCTCATGCTATGGCGCGGCTGCCGCTGTCGCCATCTCCACCGGCTTTCACCCCCGTCAAGGAAGAGCCCGACGTCGGCACCACCGCTGCCGCTCGCACTTCGCGCCCACCGCCCCGCAAGAAGCGCCGCCGGGACCACCTTCCGGTAACCCCAAGCCAGCCGCTGCTCACGCCCCAAACTATTCTGTCCGGGATTTCGAAAACCGATTCCTTCGATGTCAAGCGGTGCGGGGAGCTGGACCTAACGCCGATGACCGTGCCCACCTCCATAAAGAGCGAGCCTGACGCCGACGACGGGGCTGGCAAGAATGCAGGAGGGGAAACATTGCGCGCACAACCGCACAAGAAGCGCAGCCGGCACTGCCTGCCGGCAACCCCAATCCAGCAGCCCCTTTTCACTCCCCAAGCTACCCCGCCGGGCATTTCAAGGGCCGATTCCTCTGTGGATAAGTGGAGCGAGCAGCCCAGCGCAACGCCGACTACCACTGTCAAGCGTGAGCTCGATGCAGACGCTGGCAAGGACACGGGAGGGAAGGTGGTCCGGAGACGACGCCCCTACCCTCAGAGGCCCATTACAGAGCAAGCCCCCACCATGTGGGCTAATCGTGGACGCCTTGGCCGTCTCCTCCACAGTCATGTTCGCACGCACCAATGGCGAGATGCTGCAGGGGTCTTCTCCGTGCTCCTACCTGGCATCCAGCGCCCTGACTCCTTCGAGGAGGTCCGCAGCATTTTAGTGGTAAGCAGAACATGCAGGGTGTAATTACTAATTTTTATAGCAGCTCATGGTTTTGGTAAAGTTAGTGTTTTCTAATGAAGGCTAGTTGCTCGATTGAAGGATGCGATGGATATTCATAGACGCCTTGCTCAGGATAGTGGCAACCATGGGAGGAGAACCTACTACCACCGGACGCAGAAGGTTTTTGATGTTTGGATACAACGGCTAATGTGGTTGCCTACTTCTGCAAAAGTAAGTTCCTAATTTGTTGTCAACTTTTAGACTAATACAATGTTAAATTAGTTAATTATCTTATTCTTGTATATACCATGAGTAAATTTGTTAATACAACCATATCTGAACAAACACCTGAAAATGGAACCAGGGTTTTGTTATAATCCGTATTGTTACCAATCAGTACTATTCAGAGCCTAATTGGATAAAAAATGTTTCCTGGAACAACATTGAATTCCAAATCCAACAGGAATTAGGACTGTTCATTTGTTTGGATATAAGCATAGTAGCATACACATGAAAGTTCCTTATTATTGTACCTTTCGTTGGATTTTTGTATGAACTTTATGGGGAAAGGGCATTTGCTGTGAAGTCTGGTCAGCAATCTTCTGCTAACTTGTGTCTATAGGAGTGATACCGTTGCTATAGTAGAGATTATTGAAGCCCATCTGGCATGTGCGCATTGCCCTGTAGCCCGCACAACTGTGAGCTCTGCCTTCTGATGCACCTATATTTTGTTGCTACCTGAACTGTCTGCAGTTGCTCAACACCAGCTGTATTTGGTAAAACCATGGGTGGTCCTTCATCAGTAGAACAACATGAACTTAGGGTGAGGTAAAAGCTGACACAGGGCAGAGGATCAAAGTGTATTGTAGTACTCCTGTTTATGTTCTTCAAAAGTATCCTACATCTGTTCTTTTGTTTTGGGATTCTTATATTCCAAACGGCCTATTTTTTAAGGCGACGCCTTACCGCCTTAGGGAGGGGGGGCGCTTTGGCGCCTAGGCGACGCCTAGGCGGGCGCTTTGGACGCCTAGGCGCCCAAAGCGGTCGATTTTCTAAAGCGGAGGGGGAGCGCTTCGACGCCTAGGCGTCGCCTTAGGGACGCTTTAAAAACATAGCAAACGGCCCTCTTTTTGTTGAGTTCGAAATCACAATATGCAGTTTTGTGCACGTGTGTTTTTATTCTGTTGTGGCTTGCTAGTATTTTATAGTTAGGTTGGTTGCAATTTAAACTTCTGCATGCCATGGCAAAATTGGATTCAGTTGATCGGAAACATTGAGTCATAACTTCGTATGTTCATAGACTCACCTGAATACTAAGGTCATGGGATTAGCTTAATAAAAAGATCATGTTGTACATCATAGTCTTCAGTTCTAATTGTGTTCTGTTTTCTGTGTTACCTCTGATCTAATCCTTTTTATTATACGGTAATAGATGTACAAACATCATGCTCCTTTGTATTTGCTAAACCCTGTTAATTTGTTTGGCAGAAACACATGGTTAAACTCGAACTGGCTCTATTTTATCTTTCACAAGGCAAGATCGACGATGCACACAATGCAACAAGAGTGTGAGTTACCGGCACAGTCTGTTAGTGTTTACATCTGCCATGTCTTGTACACATATTTTGATATGCCTTTTCTTGGGAATACACTGATCTGTGATAGGCTTATAGCCATGTCATCTTGTTTGTTGTTACAATTTACATGCCTAATTCATTTACTTCCTTAATGAAACCAAGTATCAGTCTATCATGTTAAATCCAAAGAAATTGTTTTTTCACATGTTATCAGGCAAGGACTGTATTGCCTGCGAGGTACTAGGTAACTTCTCATTAAGGATACAATCCATTTTGGTCCAGGTATTTGTTACATAGTAACAGGTTGAACCACCTTTTTGTTTTTGCACAAAACATTCCACTTTGAACCACATTTAACCATTTCAGATTTTGAAGTGGTTCTGACATGATTGCCCCATTTGTCTGGGTAGTGTGTCACTCGCAACTTGACACATTGCAGGCCAATTGGGACATGCATCTCACAGATACTCTCTGACATGGCATAGGCTAGCCGGCGATATGACAGAGGCTAGCTAGAGATGCGATGTCCATCGTGGCAGAGGCTAGCTGGACTGTCCAACGTAGCAGAACTTGGGTTACCAGAGAGCAGTAATAGCTAGCAGAGAGCGGCTGTTGGACCTTCGGTTAGCCTCTGCCACATCAGATGCATGTTTGCAAAATGTACGCCACAGTTAGTCTTGCGATGTGTCAAGCAATAGGTGACTGTTACATCACCCTGATGAGTGTGACCATCACATCAGAACTAATTCAAATGCTAAAGTGTTTTTCAGAGTGGAATAATTTGTGCAAAATCTGCTTCAAAGTGTCACCGAAAACTAAATGTGGTTCAAACTGTCACGTATCACAAATATCTGGTCGAATGTGGAATTTATTCTTTCATTAACAGAAGTAGGCACCCAAATTCAAGTACATGGTTGGTGGTGTACACTCTCACCTCCAGCCAACTGAGTGGCTCACGAGACATTTGTGTGGTATTCATATGCGTCAATCTAGGAAATTTTTTATGATGATGAAAGGAATCTACAGATAGTACAAAAGTATGCATTTGTTAAATGCATACATTGTGTTAAGATATGTGTAGCATCTTAATTCTGGTAACTAGAGTACTTTTCAAGTGTTGAAGCTTTTGGATGATTTAGTTTCTTGTTTTAATTTTCTCTTCCACAGACATGTCTTGTCAGCACTGAGATAAAAGAATTGAGAGCTTCTATTCCTTTTTTCAGCCTCATCGCGAAGGACGGACTACAGAAGGAACCAACTCTAAATCTGATACATGGCTTGATATCATATGATAAATGGTACTCTGGCTTGCCCAAAGATATGCAACTTGAGAGATTTGATGTGTACAATGAATCATGCAAAATTTCTATGTCATCCAATACCTGTGGAGAAAATGGTCTTCAGGATAGTTCAGATGACAATTGCAGCATTGATGTTGATGATGCCAGTTTTCCTGCTTGCTCTTCAGAAAGTTCTATCAATAATGGGAATATAGACAAAAAATGCAAGATTCCCAAGAAATCTCGTTCTGTTTATCCTGTTAAGGAAAACGATTCAGTAGATTCACAAGTGAAAGAGGAAGTGGTTTCTGCAGATTTTCGAAGCGTATTTTTTAATACCTCTGATGCCCCTACCTGTGGTTAGTGACTTTCCATCTACTTCTTCAAGATGTTCATCTGTTTTTTCCCTTCCACTAAGTACTAGGTAGTTTCGAGTTCTGGGGATCTGTAGAAAAATGACACTGAGTGATTACATTACTGGAACATCTAGAGCAATCATAAAGAACCACTGGTTTGATGTCATATACCTTCTAATACATTTTGTTTTTCGACCATCCACTTCTATTTGATAGCAATACTGCAACCAGTTTTAGCCTTTATTTACTTTTATTTGATGCATCTGGATCCAAAATATGAGAGTATGACATGAATTTTCAAAGAGGTATATAAACAATGCTTGACAACTCTTAAGGTTTGTTACTTCTTTTTGCATCCGGCAAGTCAGAAACAGATTTTGATGAATGCGCTGGAAGCATCGTGTAGATTTATCCTTCTTTTTGTTAGAGTTGGATCGATCCTTCATCGTTGGTAGTAATGTATTGCATGTACATTATAGCTTCGTGGCTGTCCCTCATCAGATCAACTAGCCTCATTAATCTGAGCAACCGTTTGTCCATTACTTTTGTTATCTTTATCAAGCTTGTTTTATAGCTCCGCATAATTATGTATTAACATGTTAGATGTTATTATGGTACTTGAAGGGTTGGAACAAAGCTTGTTGCCACTACGTCTAAAGCATGCTGCTGGGACTTCAAGTGATTGCTTTGATTCGTACTGGAAGTACAAGTCAACACCTAATGCCTTCTACGCAGATGCAGAAAGATGTCTAAAAGTGGCTCTTCATTCGTCACCACCAGTAATGGCAGCCTTATTGCCATTAATACAGGTACTTGTCTATCAAACCAGTACCCCATGTTTTGCATATAACCATACAATTTCTTGTATGGATTTTGTTTTCATCTGTAGACCCATTTTAGCTACCTTTACTATGGTGTAGATTCTCCTGCTTGGTGATAAACTGAAAGATGCACTTTGTGAACTTGAGAAGACCTGCCGCAGTTCTACTACAGCGCTTCCTTTCAGGTTGTCAAGCCATCATGTCGTTGGTTATCATTTAAAGCAATTTGTTATCTTAAATCTCATCTCTCATTTTATGTTTCTAAAACATCTTTTGACTATGGTAGTTTCTGTTTTTTTGTTCCTTGTCTGCACTGATATAAGCTATTGTGAGCTAAGTGGCTGAAGTTTAGTTTTTGTAATGCAGATTGCGAGGCAGACTGCTAGAGTATTTTGACCAAAATCAAGTATCAACTATATCTTCTTGCTATGAGGAAGCTTTGCAGAGAGATCCTACATGTAGCTACTCGGTTGAGAGGCTAACTGAAATGCACAGAAAAGGTTTTGGCTGAAGACTTTTTCTCCCATGGTGCTCTACTATTTGATCAATTCTAGTTTAGTAGTCGACTCCTTACATTGGTACTGCTACATACATTCTAGAAGAAAAAAAAAATTGGTATCAGCAAAACTGGACTGAAGTAATGAACTATTTCTAAAGTCCATATTTCCCCTGCAGTTAGGCCATTTGTCAACGGAATAAGATAAACAAATGGACTATTGAGGAAAGAAGTGTTAAATCGATGTGTTGCTATTACTCCAATACCTACCTTTGACATCACTGAAACCTGCTGTATGGGAATTATAGTGGTTTACGCTAAGGTGTTTACTTGGACTGGTTTCATCAATTGGAAGGTCTAAAGCAAAGGGTTTTAGAAGTTAGTGGTGGCTGGTTGGCACTATAACTACTAACCTTCTCTTGTGGCACTAAATTCGGTATAGCGAGTGGAAATATTGCTATCTTGTAACTATGCTCTTGATTTCATCACTGGAAAAGTAACTCGAAACTACAATCCCGAAGAAACCGAATTATTCTTGCTTGTTGCATGTCAAGTATTCTAGTCTCAAGCAATCCATACAATTATTACTGATACTGGTCATTTTATTAGTAAAGTAGAAATGTCATTAGATTGTTACATCAAAACAGAATAGTAGAGAAGATCGTGCATGAAGTATTTTACAGGACATCGTAGAATGTAAGCATGTTGATCTTTCTATGAAGCCATTTTTGTGATCATCAAAACAGAATATTAGTAGTGATATCACTATCAGAAGAAAAAATGAACTTCAATGCTACTCGTGGTTTCCCAGTTTCTAAAGTTTATTACATTGCTTATCTATGCGAACTTCAGAAATGTTAACGATTTGATTATTTTGCTAGTGGCAATGGTTAAATTTTCTTAACCTGTTGTTGGTTCCCCAGGATATTATAATACCACCCGACTACTTGAGAGAATTGTTTTGCATCTAGACTGTGTGAACGGGAAGCCTTCCATCTGGGAGGAGCTTGTATCATGCTTGCTTCGGCTTTTTTCTGATCGTACTACTGACTACGAGGATTGTATTTCATGTAATGTTGAAGGAGATGCATCGATTGATGCTTTTAGTAGTCTTTCTTCAGTCTTCTTTGAGCAACATACGAGGGAATCATGGAAGCACCGATGCAAATGGTGGATGAACCGTCATTTCAGCCAAAACATCTATATGTCAGAAACTGCAAAAGGTAACTGCTTGTCCCTCTAACTCAATTATTGCTGAAATGCAATCACGTGGTGCTCCCCTTCATTTGATCAACTTTCTCAGATAGTAAATGCTAAGACTACATTGATATAGGGCAATCTCTAGTCCATTGGCATTTAAACTCGTGGTTTTCTTGGCAGCCCATGTTTAAAAAAAGTTGACGGGTATCTGTATAACGTGGACCCTGGCTGGCCCAGTTTGATATTAGATTTTGTTGGTTTATAGAACTGGCATACCTTATTACAGCAGGATAAGGCTATCACTTGTTAAAATATTTTTTAGGTAGCTGTTAGTAATTGCCAGGCGTATGGTGCAATGCCTTCACCTTGAAACGATCATGGCATCACGGGGTTCTCCTGTATGGGACAAGACAATGCTATGGAGTTAAACGTACTAAATTTGGCCCTTTGTGTTTTCCATACCGATAAAGAGCTGACTACAGATATTAATAACTGTAATAAAATATCTATTGTGCAATATAGAAAATGAATATATGTCAGCTACACCAGACTATTCTGTGCGCACTAAATTCTAGGCATTCATGATTTCTTTCTCTTTTTGCAACTTCCATTTTACTCTCAGATGCATGTCCCCCACTTGGCACGATTCCAGTTGCACTGCTGTGTTGTGATCACAGATAATGACGTCTTCCGTGTTGTTACAGGTGATTGCAAGCTCCTCGCTTCCAAGGCATCTTGTGCTTCTCACATGCTTGGGCCTGGATTCCCATATGTCAAAGCAGCCAAGAGCTATCTTTCCAAGCAAGAGGCTAAGCATGAATCCGGATTCTTGTCCAGTAACATGGAAAATTCTGTCAAGTTATTACAAAGTTTGGAGAAACTAATGTGATGACTCCGTTTAGTTCAATCTTTTCTTTTTGATAGGGTAGTTTATGTTGTTGTATAATTTTGACATATAGTTTTAGCGTCCTTTGCGAGGTTAGTTTCTGTAGAGCGGGAGATCTACATCAGTGCATCCCAATATTTTGTGTATCTGGCGATTGTGAGAAATATCAGGATCAACAGCGGTGTCCCAATATATAGTGTACTACTAGTATTTGGCACTTGTTAGCCACTGGTCAACAACTTCTGTTGCCCCCGGTGTCCTATTTGGACAAGTAGCAAACGAAGTCGATTTCACTCCCAAGGCTTAAGAGAATGTAAGAGCAGAGCAACACAGTAGAAAATGTTGGGGGTGAATGTGGAGTTGGCAGCGATGGAAAGCCTCACCCTAGACCTGCATTGGTCACTCCTTCCATTGACGACGGAGACCGACTGTTCTGAAGCGGTATCCATCAACGCCTAACACGTCGCAGTATTCATCCAGGGTTCAGATATTCATGAATTTGTTGAGGAAAGGAATGTATCTATTGTTAAGATAAAGGGTGTGTCTGGCACATCTAGATGTGTTCTAGTTATTGCACATCTAGATGTGCTCTAATTATTGCACATCTAACTGAGTGGATCAAGTATAAAGAGAAAAAGAAAAAAGAGAAAGAAAATATTGGGTGTGTCTAGGGCACATCTAGATGTGCTCTAGTTATTACACATCTAAATGAGTGAATCAAGCATAAAGAGAAAAGAAAAAAGAGAAAGAAAATATTCACACGAATCTCAATGTAAGATCAATGACTTTTGACTTAGATGTGCAATACTTATGGCACATCCTGGAAAATATTCACACGAATTTCAATGTAAGATCAATGACATACGACTTAGATGTGCAATACTTATGGCACATCTAGATGTGCTTTAGCAAAACTATAAAATAAACCACAAAGCCAATTTTGCGAGTCATGGCCTAGCAAGGCTATGTACTTCCTCCGTCCAGAAATACTTGTCATCAAAATGAATAAAAAAGGATGTAATATACATCCCTTTTTATTCATTTTGATGACAAGTATTTCCGGACGGAGAACATCTCTTTTTATTCATTTTGATGACAAATATTTTCGAACGGAGGAAGTAGGTGAAAGCAGCAGTGTGGATTCATAACTTTCCACCGGAAATTGCCCCTGCTATGATCTCTGATTGCGTCTACTGGAGTATTTTTGCTAGCTAATAGAAATACTCTTTCCCTGCAAAAAAAACAAAAAAAAGAGAAAACACAGAGGATTTTGTGCTTGACCAATTTTAGTCAAGAGTGCTCGTAAACCGTTCAGATCACAATACCGGACAGTGACAGCAAAGAAACAGATACAAGACGTGTATTCGTACTGATCACTGAAAATTTTACGACTGTGTCCCAGTGGTTTCGACAGGCACTGCAGGTCAGGTAATGCAACGACAAGAGCTAACCGCTCGCCAAAGTACAGCCGGCTAATCTAGGGGGGTTTTATCGTCCACAAACAATCTGATCCGTGTCACTGATTTACTGGGAACTCATACCAGGTACCAGCCCTGCCGATTCGCAGCTACCAGCGTGCTCTCTACTTCTCTAGTTAGTTTGCCACCGCCGCTGCCGGTGCTGCCTCCTCCTCCGGCGCCATGTTGTTGGTTCCGCAGCCAGGGCATATGTAGCGCTTCTGGAGCTCCTCAGCGAGTGAATGGTGCAGATTCTCCAGTTCGGACACGCGCTTGCGTCGAGTCAAGGAAAGCTTCCGCAAACACACACGGATGAAGAAGCGGCAGGAACATATGTACATATAAATAATAGTTGCGCAAACAAAGTGATTTTTAGACAGGTGAAAAGGATATCCTCCGAGCTCCTGCAACTTCTTCGTCTCTTTCATCACAGCCTCCATAAGAGCTCTCTTTGCTCGCACATCAGCCAGTTCATGACGCAGCTGTAAAACAAGGCAACAGTCTTGAGAGAGCTGTTAAAATTTATGTCCATATAAAACGTCAGACAATGCGCATTCCTGCAAAAGCAGCGAACTGAATACATAAAAAAAGCAAGTACTACTATATTCTTGTTAAAATTATGAGAATCGCTATAGCTTGGAAGTTGGAACTATAGTTCTCACAATGCAGCAGCAGCATGTGAAAAAAACCCGCAGCAGCAGCATCTGCCTCAGTACGTGCATGTTAGCCCCGTACGGTTGGAATTATGGTGGTCCTAGTGTTTATCATACAAATGTCTTTGGAAACATTTAGCACAACAAATATTTATCAGCATAAACTTCTATATTTTGCACCGTGACGAATAGCATTGGCATTATTTTCTTTGACTTTTGAAAAGGATAATGCAGGTAATACACACATGTCTAGCACATTAGTTCACAGCATGTAAAACTAGTTGAGTGATACACGGAGAAAACCAAACAAGTGTATCACATCCATTGAATAGTTGAATAGTTAATAAATAACACAATATTGGGTGAAAGAATGGAGAGAAGAACCTTTTCAAGTTCAAGCAGGTCCTTTTGATACTCTTCCTCCAATACATGCACCTCAGCATTCATCTTGTTCATCTGATCAACCGAATCTGTCAACATACCTTCTGAGTCCATAGTTTCATTCATGTCGCTCACATTTTGACCTGCCAAGGTGAACATTTCAGTCCAAGAGGAAACAAGAAAGTAGCAATATAGAGCACAGTACTTTAGACAGGAGATTCATAAGGGCAAATGAGAGAAGTATCATGCAGCTCATACCCTTAGCACATTGCGGAGCACATAATTAACAAAATGATCGCAGAAAAACAAAGCCAACAATAGCTTGCCTTACAATAACAGAAATTATATCTGTAAGTATATGTACAACACAGAATGAAACACATTTCCAGCTTACACAACACCGAATGGAACACATTTCAAGATTCTTTATCTTATTAAGCAATCACATATTTATCTTATTATGGAGGATAGAATACAAGAGCAGCTTATCAGCCATTACATTATTATGTGCACCCTTACTCTTCTACGCCACAACAAAGACATAGATTGATCTAGCTAAAAATAACAAGCTTTTGGGTACAGACATAATAAAGAACAGCACAGAAGTACAACTTATAATTCCGGTTACCCTTCAAACTATGCAAAATGAATCAAACAGAAACAATATGGGAACTGCAAAATTACAGGAACCCTTCTTAAGGTATTCAGGAACCGAAAGTGTTATGTATGCACTGCGAGTTGGCGTCCTTACCCTCTGCTGACTTGCCTTGCTTACCATCTGCTGATGGCGGTCCAGAGCACCTCTCTGCTAATTCTGCAGAAGCCTTCTGTTGAAACTGCCTGCAGAGGAGGAATGAAGTTTATCTCGAGATAATTAGCAAATAAGAAACTTCTAATGCAAGTTTCAGCTAGCAGGCAAAGAAAATATACCAAGTAGACATAATAAAAAAAGAAAAGGTAGAAAAGTGATTCTGTTCGACTATTCTGAAGAATTAAACAAAACTTAGTAGTATCCCTTGACACTATCTTCATAAGGTTATAGCAAAGGATCTTAATAATGCTGTCCAAAATATCACATGATTACCCTTACTGCAGGTTAATGTGTTAAAACATACTCAATGCTCTATTTCACGGATCACTGTAATTTCGAGATCCACATATATATCCCTATTCGATCCCCTCACTGTAGTTTGAACATAGGCGAAGTACTATGCCAGACAATGGCATGGTCGTTTATATATAGTACCAAAGCAAACAAGAGATGCAGCCCAAGCCACAGCTGAATAGCTGATTGCATATCCAGGGAACGACATGTAGTCAGTGCCGGCAAACCAAAAGAATAACACATACCTTATCCTTGCATTCATTTCAAGCATCTGTCTCAAGAACTCCTCTCTGAAACAACCAGCGCAGGCGCATGTGTAAATTAGTTGATATGTACTGGAGCACAACAGAAACAGCACGATAGACAGAGTCCATCCCACTCACCTCTCGATGTCCTCTGTGCTCTTTGGAGCCATTTCATCGAGCACCAAAAGCGCAGCCCCGCCAGTTCCAATTCCAATCACACACACACACACACACACACACACACACACACACACACACACACACACAACACCAACACACAAAGCGCGTCATATTTAAGCAACAACAGGCCAGGATCCTAACTGAACCAGCTTCGATTATCGAGATTTCTGACCTTAAGCGCCTCCAGTTCAGAGCCCAGCTTCGCGATCTCCTCCTGGAGACGAGAGATCGTCGCCTAAACGCACCACGACAACACGTCGAACCAAATCAGGCGAACTGGCACTGAACGGAGGCACGATTCACACGTTTCGGGGCGAGGGAGATGGGGAGATACCTCGAGCGCCTGTATCGACGCGTCTGCGATGGATGCCTGCACCTCGCTCCCGCGCAGCTCCGTCTCTGCCGCCTCCCGCGCGCGCTTCGCGGCCTCGAGCTCCGCCGTGGCCGCGTCGGACGCTGAGACCACGTCGTCGAGGCGGCGCTTCAGGCCCGACACCGTGCGCTCTGCACTCGAAGCGGCGGCGGGCTTGGGTTAGCCGAGGACGCGAAACCCTACGGTGCTACAGGGGTGGATGCGGCGAGGCCGCGGGGAGGGGGACGCTTACCGCCGTGGGACTTCTCGGCCGCGAAGTCGCGGATGATGGATAGGAACTGCTTCTGGGGCTCGCCGCCCGCCGCCGACGCCGACGCGGCCATGGGGAGGAGAGGAGGAGAGGGCGACGATTGCGGGACGTTCTTCTGGAAGGTTCTGGAACTCGAGAGGGTTTTGAGGGGGGCGGGAATGGAGCTGGCGACTGGTCGTGTTGGACAGCTGGAGCTTATAAGACTACGCACGGTAGGAGTAACTTGGCTAGTAACACTACATATATCTACTCTCTCCGTTCCATATTAGTTGTCACTAAAACGGATGTATACTAATATGAAAAGAAGGGAGTAGATAAAATAGATGATTTAGCGATCAATAAATAAAGAAAGAGAGGCA